ACTCTGAAGTAAAAAAAGCAAACTGCCAAATACCATGTTATAGCATGAACACATCTGTATGCTTTTATAAAAGAATGGAATATATAACATATATGATAAAGAATGTAACACACACACACATACACTCACACCTGCATAAGAAAAATTTCAGGGAAGGAAATATGAGAAGTGTTTGTTAACATTGGTTACCTCTGGGAAAAAGAATGGGGAGTTTAGGAAACATACACACATCACAACCACAAAGTATTTACATTTTGAAAGACTTACAATACTAAGTACTGGCAAGCACGTACAGAAATGGGTACTCTTGTTCAATACTGGCAGAAGTGTAAATTGTTAAAACCACTTTGGAAAACTGTTTAAAATTATCTACCAAAGCCGAATATATGCATACCATTGTGACCTACCAATTAAACTTCAAGGTATAAACCCAAGAGAACTATGTACATATTTGTACTGGAGGACATGTACAAGAATGTGCCTAACAGCACTATTTTAACAAACCCAAACTGGAACACAAATTTCTATCACTGGCAGAATGGATAAATTAATTGTGGTATATTTGTACAGTTGAAATATATACAACGAGAAAAAAATGTGCTACTGTTATACTCAACACAGGGATGAATCTCACAATATTGAGCAAAAGAAATCATGTAAGAGTATATACTGTCTCTATGGCAATGAGATTGAACGGGTTCCAGTTACAGAAAGTTCAAAACCACGCAAAACTAATCTATGATAAGTTAGTATAGTGTTTATCTCTGGGGAGGAGGGTTATATAAACTGGGATAGAACAGGGAGGGGAAGCACTCATAGGGCTGGCAATGTGCTAATTCTTGACCTAGATTGTGGTTACATTCAAGTAAGCTATTTCATTTGCGAAATTCCTGTTATCAGTGTCACACTTCAATAAAAAATGTTCAACATTTTTATATCTAAACCTTCATCTTAACAAGGCAAGAATTTTTTAACATTATGTCCCTTGATCTCACCCATCTCTCCACCATGTTATTATCTAAAATTATTAATTCTTCACTAACTTGATAGTAGACAAGAGTTATCTTAGGCGAAGGGAAGGACAGCACACACTACAGGGGACGTCAGCACAACTGGACTAAACCAAAGCTAAGAAGTTTCCTGAATACAGTCAAACACTTTGAGGGACAGAGTAGCAGCGGTGGGGGTCTAGGGACCACGCTTTCAGGGGACATCTAGGCCAATTGGCATAACAAAGCTTATTAAGAAAATGTTCTGCATCTTACTTTGGTGAGTGGCATCTGGGGTCTTAAAAGCTTGCAAGCGGCCATCTGAGATGCATCAGTTGGTCCCAACCACCTGCAGTAAAGGAGAATGAAGAGCACCAAAGAAAGACACAGGGGAAGTACTAGCCCAAGAGACAAAAGGGCCACATAAACCAGAGACTTCATCAGCCTGAGACCAGAAGAACTAGATGATGCCAGGCTGCCACCAATGATCGCCCTGACAGGGAACACAACAGAGAGTCCCGGATGGAGCAGGAGAAAGGTGGGGTGCAGAACTCAAATTCTAGTAAAAAGACCAGACTTAATGGTCTGACTGAGATTGAGGAACCCGGAAAGCATGCCCCCGGACTCTCTATCAGCCCAGAACCAAAACAATTTCTGAGGTCAACTCTTCAGACACAGATTGGACTGGACTATGGGACATAAAAATGATACTCGTGAAGACTGGGCTTCTTAGCTCAAGCAGATATATGAGACTAAATGGGCAGCTTCTGCCTGGAGGTGACATGAGAAGGCAGAGAGAGTTAGGAACGGTTGAATGGACACAGGAAATCAGGTGGAAAGGAGTATGCTGTCACAGTATAGGGAGAGCAATCAGGGTCACATAACAATGTATAAATTTTTGTGTAAGACACTAACTTGAAATGTAAACTTCCACTTAAATTAGAACAATAAACAAATAAAATTATTCTCACTCATGATGGATATTGGTAAGAGGGTGGTCTGCCTTTACAATTCCCACCCAGGCTACCTAAGCTGAGGCGTTGGGCTCAGCGCATTCTCTGATAGGCAGGCTGGGAATTGGGTCTCTCTCTCCCTCTCCCAGTCCCTTCTGCTTCTCAGAGAAAGCCTTCTCCCTGTTCTGAACCCACAGTAACTTTCTCTGTCTCTATGACTACTTAATTCTATGAAAAGTAACTAATCTTATAGCTAGTGGGTGAAGAAATGTTCTTTCTGGTCATGCAGCCATGGTCACAGGACTGTCATGCTGTTTGAATTTGAACAAAGCTTGGCAACAGGATGAACAGGCCAGGTGCAAGTGAACAAAGGCCCCTTCCTCTTACCCCTTGTCCATGTTCCCATGCATGAGGTATAAAACCCTAGACCGCAATGCCTTGCAGCCTTTCGCCTGCAACATAAACTTGGAGCCTTATGAGTGCAGAAGAGATTTCCTGTGACAGGTCACCTAGCACAGCAGTCTGAGAGAGGCAGACCCCACAATAAACCTCACCCATTCATTTGTGTCCTAACTGCTATATAAGTAAAAAGAAGCTGTGATCTTGCCACTGGGTAATGTCAATTAATTACTGAGAGTTACACCGTGGCTCATTAGAAATATACTTCCTTTTTTCTTTTCTCTCGCTAAACATACTTTACCAAAGGTATCATCACTTGTACCCCCAACTCTTGTAGTATCTCATTTTTTGAGTACTTTCTCCAAAAATGTTTTCAATGTGCATCTTTGAGTAGTCAACCTTAATATTTTTATTAAGCCCTCACATGTGAATGACAATTTAAACTCTTGGTCTGAAAGCTTTCAGATTTTTCTTTTCCTTTGATAATCTTAAATATCAGTTTGTATCTAGATGTGGGTATTTCCTTCTCTCATAGTTGCACTCTATGGCCCTTTCAGTCTTCATTTTAACTTTTTCTCCTTCTAGGCTTTTTTTTTTTTGACCCAAATGTTGGCATATCTACCTCTATTCTCCATCTTAAATTTCCTTTTGTATTTCTATTTATCTTTTTTTTGCTTCCCTCTGAGTTTCTCAATCTGATTTTCCAACTCCAGTTTATTGTTCAGTTGTACCCATTCTACTTTTACTCCATTGTTATGTTCATTTTAAATATTATACTTTTTTAATATTTATACTTGTTCTTATTCTTGTATCACGTTGCTAAAATCTTCCTTTTTCTCTTAGTGTTTATTAGTATTTTATTTTAAATTCTGATGGTTTATGTAATCCAGTTTGTTGTTGTTCTTTTGAACCAGTAGTATCTCTTGGTTATCACTTTCCTGTGGCCTGTGAACTCATTTACCTGGTGGCATGGGCTCTTCTGATAGTATACAATGGGGAAGGGTCAAGAGCTCACCCTTTACTCTGCACTGGGAATTTCAAAAAGAGAGAAGGAGACAAGCTCTAGGGTGAAGCACCCCAGTACTAAAAAAACACAGTTAATCATTCTAGTTTATTATCTACCAAGCAATCCTTCAGATCAAGGCTTCCCCTTCTGACAGCATGGGAGAAATGGCAATGGGAGAAAGCACTCCCTAGAGTCTAGGGCCTAGCTTATAACCTACCAGTCCTGAGTCTGGAGAAGTAATGCTCAAGCTAGTCAACGCCTACCTGTTTTCCCCAAACCTTCATTCAAAAAGGCTTTTGTGCTGCCCTGATTTTATCTGTGAGGACACCTGCAACAGAGGTCTGGTTCACTGTGCCCGTACCTGCTTCGAGAGAACAGGCAATCAATCTTCTCTACTGAATCCACTTACAGTCAGTCAGCCACCTATACCCTCACCACAAACCACTTCAAAACATCCCCCATATCTCCCCTGTGGGTTTTACCTTTTTTTATTTTGTTTAGTTAGTTTCTCCAAAGCTGCTCTTGGGAGAGTAACAGTAGCCAATACTAAATGGTCATTTTAGCTGTTAAATGAGTTTGGAAAATGAACTCAAATCTATGTTATGCAAAGTGCATAAGTGATATCCAAGTCCAATTAATTATAATCCAAACATACTAAAAGAAACATTCTAACCAAAATATAACAGAACTTTACATGGTTTTATTAATATACATTACTGTTATAGAAAACAAACTTCATACAAAAAGTTTTATACAGATAAAAAAAATCCTTGGCTACACAAAGCAATTTATGTGTGTACACACACAGATAACTATCTTACATCATTATAACTATACATATTTACAAATACACTATTTAAATTATTTTACAATGTACGAAAATGAGGAGAGGAAATTAGAAAAGCAAATGAAAGTGGATGAAAACTTGAACCAAACAATTGTTAGGTTTAAAATACTGCAAAACTACTTTTAAAAATCTAGAAAAGAAAGTCATTTCTTTGAAATACCAAAACTACACTGTCAATACTATACCACTGTTACTTTCATTTTGATACCAAGTTCTAACATATTGAAAATAAATATCTCGACCAATAACAGGTAAGCAAATCAATCAATGACTGGAACAAGATGAACATGCTGATTTGAGATGAAAGAGTCAGCAAGTAATAACAAATGTAGATCATCTAGTAATCCCCCCCCCAAAAAAAAACTCTCTAGTTCCCCATTTAAAACATGAGGAATTCCAAGCTTCTGTGTAGTATGCAATATCAATTAAAACTCCAAGGAATTCAGCAACTTATCTGTAATGTAAGAAAATGCTAAAGTTATGATTCTATTTTTCTGATATGACCACTGCACAAAGCACTGATCTTTTAAATAAGCTCTACTTGGATTATATTGGTGTTAAAGAACTAGCATTTACAGAATCAGTTTGGTAAGTTTATCACTGTACTTTGATTTTGCAATAATTTAATGAATTTAAAATCGGTTAAGAGACAAACTAGGAATGAAATAACCCACTACATGTGTTATCATACAAGCAAATTAAATCTCAAGTATCAAAGTCATTAAGAAATTTTAGATTTGTAATGGAATTTGGAAATTTCAAACTAATAAACATCACTACCATATACAAGTTAATTCTTTCAAAAATATACATTTTCTTTATAAGTCAACAGAAATCATATTTTAAGATAACATTCAAGTAAAACAAAAAAAAATCAGTTTAATTTCTTAAAGATAGAGAAAATGGTAAAGCACAGTGCATCTGAAAAATAACGAGACCACTGTTTTCCTTAAGCTATTTTTTTTAAAGGTTCTTTAGAAGCAGCTTCCTCCCCAAATTCCCTATTATTCAATCTCACATTTCTGAATTATTTAGAAATTTAACTTCACAGTGAACTGCTAAACATCTCTTGAAGATCTCATTAGCAAACCAGTTGCTTCAAGAGGATATGTAAATTAACAGGTTATCTAAAGACAATAATTCAGATTGAATCTAGAAACAGGGATTTATAATTCAAAAATATTCAGAACCCTTCAAACTGAGATCTATGTCTAAATATGGTTTCTATTCAGATTTAATTCAGATGTAACTTCACTTTAAATCAAGTGTTTTTTGTTCAAATAATTATGACAACAAATCAACTGAAATTTTCCTTAAGAAAAAATCCAAAATATTTAAGTAACTGGCTCAGTGCTTACAGGAAAAACCTGCTGATAATTTTAAATATTATTGCCTTAATAAACTTGTACCAAAAAATGGCTTGAAGAAACATGTCTGTGAACATTGGTAATAATGTAACATAGTAAATCATGTATCTATTCAGATGACAATGGACTTCATGTTTATGAATTTTTGTTTTGTATTTATTCACTTTAACGTATTTTTAGCACTACTAATTAAAAATGTGAGACATTAAATTACAATGACTACACAGATTTCATTGGTTATAAAACATACTTCTATTTAACAATGTATTCTTTAATTTTTCTTCATCTATAAATTAATTAAATCATCAGATGGATTTCCCCCCAGCTTAGACTCATCAGCAACTGGAAGCTTGAGGAGATGCCTTGCTGATCTGAACTGCAGCAGGCTTCACTCCAAGCACTTCCCTGGAGATGAGGTGACCTTAGACGCCTGCACAAGCAACCATCTCCCACCAGTAACTGAAGCAGGAATTCTACTGGATGTTTCACATCCACTATTCACATCTTCAGTGACTAACAGGCCATTAACTGCACCATTACAGTGTCAAATATTTACTAGTGTCTTGAAGTGTAACCATTAACTACCTGCATTTTAATTTTTCAAAAAGCTTCATTAGCTGCTGGAATCTTTCTGAGACCTAAAAAATTAAAAGTGAGTGTTAATTATCAATATTTCAGTATTTTTTTTTTATCACTGATGAATACTTTTCATAAAACACCTAAAGACAGAAAGTTACCCTCAATAACAGATGAAGTAATACTTAAGAAAAGGAAATATCTTCATATGAAAAGTGACCGCTAATTTAATTTTTGAATATTAAACTTACTTATACAAGCAAACATCATTATAAAATTCCTTGAGATCAAATAAGTAAATAAGAAGACAACAGGAAAAAATCTGGATCTTTCCATTCAACTTCTTCCATAATCACCAAGTTTTTATTTAACAGTCCTATATTAAGTGCCATACTTTTAAAGAAGCTGGCTATTAAATACCTAGATATTTTAGACATTTTAGAATTAAATTAAATCTAATAGTAGACAAGAATTATCTTAGGTGAAGGGAAGGACAACACACAGTACAGAGGAAGTCAGCACAACTGGACTAAACCAAAAGCTAAGAAGTTTTCTGAATACAACACCTAATACTTCGAGGGACAGCATAGCAGGGGCTGGGGAATGGGGACCATGGTTTCGGGGGACATCTAGGTCAACTGGCATAACAAAGTTTATTAAGACAGTGTTCTGCATCCCACTTTGGTGAGTCACATCTGGGGTCTTAAAAGCTTGCCAGCGGCCATCCAAGATGCATCAATTGGTCCCAACCCACCTGGAGCAAAGGAGAATGAAGAACATCAAAGACACAAGGAAAACATTAGCCCAAGAGTCAAAAGGGCCACATAAATCAGAGACTCCATCAGCTTGAGACCAGAAGAACTACATGGTGCCTGGCTACCACCAATGACCGCCCTGACAGGGAACACAACAGAGAGTCCCTGACAGAGCAGGAGAAAAGTGGGGTGCAGAACTCAAATTCTAGTAAAAAGACCAGACTTAATGGTCTGACTGAGTCTAGAGGAACCTTCAAAGACATGGCCCGCAAGACTCTCTGTTAACCCAGAACCAAAACCATTCCCGAAGCGAACTCTTCAGAGAAAGAATAGGCTAGATTATAAAACAAAATACTCGTGAAAAGTGTGCTTCTTAGTTCGAGCAGATACACAAGACTAAATGGGGCAGCCCCTGTCTGGAGGCCAGATGAGAAGGCAGAAAGGTACAGGAGCTGGTTGGATGGACACAGGAAACATGGGGTGGAAAGAGGGAGTGTGATGTCACATTACAGGGATTTCAACTAGTGTCACATAACAACGTGTATAAATTTTTTTATGAGAAATTAACTTGAGCTGTAAACTTTCACTCAAAGCACAATTAAATAAAAAAAAAAAATTAAATCTAAATATTTAGAGTTGCAACATCTATGACTCAATAAAAACCAAAAAACCAAACCCACTGCCATGGAGTCAATTCCAACTCATAGCGACCCTACAGGATAGAGTAGCTGCCCCACAGGGTTTCCAAGGAGCTCATGGTGGATTTGAACTGCTGACCTTTTGGTTAGCAGCCAAGCTCTTAACCACTATGCCATCAGGGCTCCTATGACTCAATAGAGATGTAAAATTGGGTAGTTACCTGATTTGGATTTTTATTCAACTTGGCAGCTAAACTAGTAAATGTTTTCACTGATGGACCTCTTTTCTGACATTCCAATAAAATTTCTCGGTCATCATTTCTGAGGGGAGAAAAATATTATTTAACTTTTGTACATCAGAATAGAAGGATAACAAAAATTCTACCGTCTTAATGACCAGCAATAGGGGGTGACACTTTTATTAAAAACCACACACACAAAAAAAGTGTATATACTAAAATATTGACAATGGTTATCTTTGAGAAATAATATTATGGATGATTTTAATCTTTGCACTCATCTGCATTTACCAAATTTACTACAACTAATTTACTATTTTTCTAATCACAAAATTAAAATTTTTTTTATTCTACCTTTAATGTATACAGTACTTTAAAAATCAAGGCCCAAAGATGATCACAGACTTAATAAGCAGAAGAACCAGAGCTAGTATAGAATCCAGATCTTCTAATTCTCTGCTTTTTCTATATGGTCTGAATCAATGTATATTATTACAATCGCTGATATTTTATTCTGCCACTCGCAAGTTATGAAATGGGGACAGAGAGAATTGCAGTATTCAACAAAAATGATCACCATTTTTTAAGAAAATTCATCTTCCCACATAAAAGTACTCTAGTCAACTATGGAGACTGTGCACCTCTATTCCAATAATTCACAACCGTGGTTACCTGTATGTCTGAAGTGGGATCTAGAAATCTGCATTTCTTAAAAAGTTCACATAAAAGTCAAAGTACAATCCATTTATGAAACCTTTTGGAAACTTTTAGGGGAAAAACGCAAGTTACAAATATTCCAACTTTTTGCCTTGTTTCAGCATCTATAATTCTTCCTTTCTAAAATGTGCTTCTATCTGTTCCTTCCATATGAAAGAATTCTTTTTAATTAAAAAAGTAAAGTTAAAACACAATGAAAAGTTCTGCTAAAACGCACCCCTGGTTAAGAGCCACTGCTCTAGTCCCTTCCACAGTAAAGCTGGCTGCACTTGGAATGTATTTCTCCTAACTCTGGCCACTTTTGAAGTCATTGCTTTCCTTAGTTTAGGATGGGATAAGACTATGAAGATATGACAGAATATTTCTGGCCTCTCAAAATATCCTGGTGATTTAAATGTCTCAGAACTAGATTCTTACCTTGTCCATGAAACTATAATTTCTCCTTTCTTTTTAATAACATTCTTTGCAGAAAGGCTCGTGGGAGAAGTGGCAGGTGCTGCTGATGAATCCTGCATCCCTGGGCTTGCTTTTAATGCTGAGGGATCTTTATTTACTGCAGGGAACCTTTTCTTATTGGCTTTCCTTTGGCGAGCTTCATCATTCTCTCCAGAATCCTGAGTGATTTTCTTGGCCTTTTTTCTACTGGTTAAGTCTATTTCCTTTCTTTGTTTTTTCTGAGAAGAATGACTTAGATCAGAAAGGTTTTTTCTTTTTTTGTGGGCATTATCCAAAGCCCCAGGCAACTCTGAACTAACAGAATTTGATTTCTGTGCTGATTTTAAATCATCCCTTTTTACCTCACATGGACTGGGAGATTCTGTGGTCAAATCAATACAAGCTTCCTCAACAATGCATTCCAAGGGCCTATCTGCCACAGGCACCTTTTCTTCCTTACAGTTCTCTTCCTCTATACATATCACCTGACACCCTAAACCTCCATCAGCTACAGCAGAATGGTTAGCTTCATTTTTACTCTCGCTTGAAGCATCTTGTGTCAAATCAATAAAAGCACCTACAGTATCCAGCTGTAAAGAACTGTCTAATATTTGAGCATTCTGATTTAAGTTGCCTCCAGAACATCCCAACTGATCAATATTTAGAACTGTCACTTCCAAGAATTCTCCCAAGTTTTTGGTCTCAGTGACCGGATCTTTTGTTAGGTCTATGTATGCGTTTGGAAGATGATCCTCAACAGACTGTGGCATTTCTTCCATTGGGGGCAATTCCTCAACGCTTTCTGGCACTTTTGGCTCCCACACTTGATGCAATTTGAAACATTCATCAGCCACTTCATGACTATCACCCACTTTACCTGAAGCATCCTTAAGAAATTCATATATATCAGGAACCTGTGTTTGTATCACAGAGTTCTGGTCTTCATTAGCCAATCTACTGCCATCAACATTTTTGCTGGATTTTTCCAATTCATCCACAGATTTAAAAACTGAGTTATGACAAGAAGTACATTCTTTCTCTGTTGCTTCATCAGCTTCCTTTCCCACTCTAGGCAAAGATGCCAATGATTCATCAGCCATGATACTCTGTTTAAGACTAGGGGAGGCAGATGGTGCTGCACGCCGTATTTTCACAATGAAATGATCGTTGGACTTTTCCATTATGACAGCATGCATGGGCAGATTAGGGTGGTACTGAAAGCCTGGAGCAACAGACCGGCTTGTCCATGATGAAGAACAACTTGATTTACTGCTTGAATTATCAGACTCCAGAGCTAAATGAATATCTTGCTCAGATGCATCCTCTTCCTCAAGTAAGGCATCTTCACTAAAATGGGCACTAATAACTTCTTCCGGAGTTGAAACAGACGAAACCTCAGGCTTTAAGAAACTAAGATGACCATCTGACTTCAGAGGTGATGGTACTGTTAAAGAGACTGCCAGATCTTCAAGAAGTACAGAAGAAATGCAGGGCTTGCTCTTTTCTGAACTACATATGTTATCTTTACTTAAAGCTATGTTAGTGGACACTTCAAACATACAACTTTCATCCAACACATCAGGATGAACTGGCAATGAAAGCCCTGAAGATAGAGATGGTCCTTTTTCAGATGATAATAATGACCAATTGTCATCACTAATCATTTTAGGACTTGGAGGAACTACCCCTGAAACGAGCTCTTCCGTTGTACATGCTGGTATAGATTCACACTTAAGACTCTCTAACAGTTGTTTCTCTGGGGTTTTTAACTCCCACTCACTTTTTTCATTACCGTTAACACTGCTGTCCAAAAGATCAGAACCTTGCAACAAACTTTTAAATATTTCACCCATCTGTGCATCACTCACTAAATTAAAAGTAAGGCTAGATGCTTGTTGTTCAGTAAGAATTTCAAAACTACGTTCTGGCTTCAAAGCTGCATGCTGGGATGCCTGTGCATCTTCTACAGTGCTGCCTTCCGTTCTTCCTGGCTTTGGGGTGCTCAGACAGTTTAGTTCCAAGGAGGGCTCCTGCGATTCAGAGTTCTTTATATTATCAAAGCAAGTGTTAAAACTTCTTTTAATGCCATGCTTTACTGTGTTCATATCGAAGTTGTTTTGGTCTTGATGTTTTTCCTCAGATTTTTTACATCCCAGTAAAGACTTCAAATCAACAGAGTCTTCTGATTTGGGGGGTTTTACTTTCAGTATTTCTTTGTTGGAGTTCTCCATATTCCCCTTCTGACAATTTGAACGCTGCACTTTTTGTTTGTTTGTTTTTTCAAGTTTTCCTTCATCACTATCACTTCCAAAGTTTATGGAATCACAAAACTTTACTAACATTTTTTTAAGCTTTGCAAACAAATAATCAAGTTGTTCATCTACAAATTTCCACAGTTTTTTTTTCATATCTGGTAGTTGCTGTTCAAATAAACGATCAACTATGCCATTCTTTTTAACTTGCTTAAGTTTAGATTCTATAATATCACAGAGATTCTTCTGTAAAGTGGCCACTGACTTAGAGATTTTGGATAAATCAAGGTGTCTAATTAGTGATGTAAAACTCAAAATTGCTGACTCAATAATTCTATGAAACTGTATTAATGAAAACTTTACCTTGAATTTCATATAATTTTTCCTTATATGTTTTCTTATCATTCGCAACATGTGCATAACCTCTCGTAGAGAAGACGGTGCAGCAATAATTTGAACTATTTTTTCCAGGCTGGAAGTGCTCATTGTTTTCTCTTTCTTCCCTGTTTTTGAATATCGATGAGAGTCATTAGGTGTCTTACTACATTTGTTATTGGTCTGATGGATTTTTACAGAAGATGTTTTCCTATTATCTTCACCCAAATGCACAGTACTTTTTCTTCTTCCTGGGTTAGTCTTTGTGTTCCGCACTTGAGCAGAAGCTCTAGGTTTGGAACTTTTTTCAAAATTTTTTTGTGATTTTGATGTTTCATTGTCACTTATAATTTCTCCTTCTTCTAAGTCATCTGTAGATGAATTCTTACAGGAGTCTACTTCTGTACATTTGTCAGATTTGCAAACTGGCTTTTGATTTTCCTTATTGAGATCATCAGACTGACTCTTGGAGGTAGAATCAGCTGAATTTAGTGGAAAAACATCTATGGAAGAGAAAAGTATATTAAAGTCACATGCTACTAAATCTTAGTCATCTGACATCTCCAGCCAAAAAAATGAAATACTAAAGCAATTCATTCTTTTAAAAATCTTTTTTAAAAAGCAGAATTTTAATGTCTAGTACTTATCCATGTCGTTGGTCTTTGCTACTCTTAAAATTTGCTCAGTCATCGAGATAGAAAGTAGAATAAACGTTATTAGGGGCCAGGGGGAGGGTATGGGGAATTGTTGTTTAATTGGTATAGAGTTTCTATTTGGATGATAAAAAAGATCTGGAAATAGATAATAGAACACTGGGAATGTACTTAACACCACTGAATTGTACACTCAAAAATAGTTAAGATGGTAAATTTTATGTTATGTATATTTTACATAACATAAAAAAAATGCAAAAAAAATCTGCTCAGAACATGTCTGACAACAGCGATAGTGTAGAGTTTGGTCTTTTGGATAACTATTAGACAATAGTTCAGGATAGCTTTACTTCATGCTAGCAGCATCACTTCACACCTCAGTTTGATGATGACTTTTGAACAACAAAAGCATCTGAAAGCAAGCAAACAATATTTGAGACAATCTGTCCCACCACTCTCTTTTGTATAGTGTTACCTAAAGGCTCAGTTTCATTTATACTTAACACTGGGCTCTAAATAGTATGTCCATTAGTTATGTTACCAAAAAAGAAAATGAAAAAGCATCAGTTCACTTTGCTTATGTATTTTACATTCTCACAAAAAAAAGAAATTACAGAAAAAAATATAAACTATTACCTTTATGGCTGTTATTATATAATGGAACTCGAGATGGGCTTTCCACTCTAAGAACTTTTGCCACAGGTCTCACTGGACTATTCAGAGGACTGATGGCTTCTGGAATAGGTCTCAGGTGATTAAGGTCAATGCTCAGAACCGAGTTCTCATCATCATGATATACCGAGTTTGTTTCATCAACTTCCATTCTGTGGTCCATTAACTCTGTCTTCTGCAATGAAGATTCTATAGTTTCTTTAGGTAAGCAAGGCTCCATATGACAAGACTTACTCTCAACAAGTGGTGTACCCACAAAAGAAGGCTCAAATTTTGGGTTACCGTCTTCTGAAAGGCTTACTGGCAAAATGCCAGCTTCTTCAATTGATGGCTGCAAAATGCTCTCACTGGATTCAGCCACTTTTGTTGAAAAATCCACCTTCGTTTCCATACTTTCAGAAATACCACAAGAATTTAAACCATCGTTTCTTTTGGTATCCACTTCCAAGCCAAAGTTTTGAGAAATATCTGTTTGTAATACATCCATTACCACGGGAGTAGTCTTTGCACTGTCAATGGTTTTTTCCATTTCTGTTGATGGAAACAAGGATTCTGTTTGGTCCAGTTTCACAGATGCTGAAAAGAAAGTCTCTGTACCACAGAGGGCCATGCCACAAGGCACAGAATTCTCAACAGATTTAACTAACACACTTTTTTTTTTTTCCATTTTGCTTTCTGGAATATTGATCCTGAGTTCAGATGCTGCTGGAAGAGCATCCTTTGGTTCTAGTAACTTCGATTTGGTTTCCTCTGTGATATGTTCACTAACAGATGGAACACATGTCATTGTTTTCGCCTGCACCAAGGACTGCAAATCACAAACGCCACTGGATTCGGCAGTATCAGTTATTTTATGCTGATTATCCTGAGAAACAGGCTGCTTTTTAGCAGGAGAAAGAGTTAAGTTCAATTTCTCCATAAAACTCAACTTAAAGTCTTTGCCTTTTCTTTCATTTGGACCACTCTCAGCTTTAAATGCAAGTTCTCTGTCATTCACTCTTTCAGAAGTTTCATTTTTAGAAATTTCACTTTTATCATTTTTTGGCTCATTCTGTCTCTTTAAATCAGTAGTGGTTTTCTTAGTTTCTTTGTTAGTCTTCTGCAAATGTTCTGTAGGTGTTGTTTTTTTTTCATTTCTCACATGTCTGCTTTCTTCTTTGCTTTCTTGTTCTCTTTTCCTCTTATCTTCAGTCCTGTGCCTTTGTGCTCTTAAAGGTACATTTTCCCATTGCTGTACACCATCAACTTCCTTGGAGTCAATGTGTTTGTAAGCTCTACTGCTTGAAAGAAAAGATGTACATCTTCCATCTTGAAAACTATGATTGTTTATACTCCTGTCTCGTTTACACTCTTCCCTTCCTCTTCTCTCTTCCAGATGGTATTTACTGGAATTATGAGATTTTGTTATCTCATTCCTGGAATGAGGAAGCAATGTTTGTTCAGATCTTCTCCGATGATCCTGGTCCTTTACTACTGATTTAGTTTTTTGATCAACTTTTCTTTCTTCTTTGTCCTGTGATTTAAGGTCTTTTTTATTTATATTTTGTGATCTTTCACTTTGTCTTTCTAGTCTTTTGTCATTTTGAGATTCTACTCGAATGTGTGACCTTTCTCGAGATATCTCTTTCTCACGAGAAGAGCTAATGTGTTCACTTTGATAATCCGAATTTGTGTTACTTTTAAACTTTGAATTTTTGCTTTCAGCCTTTGGTTCACCTTTACCATATTTTTCAGAGCGTCCTTGTAGCCTTTGGTCAGTCTCTGTGTTCCTCAGTTCACCACTACCACAGCTCGTACTAAAGTCTTTTCGTATTCTATCAGTTCCTCCACTATATTGACTATGTCTTATATCTTTTTTCTCTCTTCTATTATCCTCACCTGAGTTACCCTCACCAACGTGATAATGCGAACGTGACCAAATGCCATTGGCACAACGTTTTTCGATAGATGGTGGCAAAACTGAAGTGCTCCTTTTTTCAGAATGTGATTTTCCTTCTTTTCCCAGGTTTGGCAGTGAGGCACTATGATGTAAATCTCTAGAAACATCACTTTTCACTCTGGGATCAGTCTTTGAACAGTCATCCAAATGAGGAGATCTGGATTTAAGATCTTTTGTTTTAACTGTATCTGATGCCCTTGCAGTTTTATGATTATTCCGAAAATGTGGAAATTCAGACAATCTATTGAGAAATGGAAAATTACAAAAACAGAACAATTATTAACATGCAATAATATTCCAAATTTTATTCACATGTGACACACTTTAAAATCTTGGAGGCATGCAAAAATTTTAGCAAAACCAATTTTACTTTGTATAAAGGAATATGTAATAAGTGATTCACCAGCTTTCTGCTAAGTGGGCCAGTTTTCCAGACAAGAAACTCTCTTTCACTTGCTTTGATTCAAAGTCTGGAGGACCTTTCAGTTCTCTCCTAGCACTTGCCTATGTCTTCCAGACTTCCTTTACCATGGGCACACAATTCCCAAACTAACCATATATCGACTTCTTCTAGAGAAAGTGAGTACACTATTTTCTTGCCCTCAATCACTCTAGCCCAACAGAAACAAAAGTAAAAGTGAAGTCTTGCTGGACAACAGAGACAAAGTCGAACTCTATGTAACTCCTCATTCTAGTTTTCTGTTTCACATACAATCCTCCAGGAAGCCAAAGTATCAACAGCCATTTTACAGTTGTACATACTGTGCAAAAAGGAAAAGGAATATAGATTAGTGTCTCTCTCCTAGGGGAATGGTATGTATTTACTGTTTTAAAAATATAAATATTAACATCTTCCTAAACTTCCATAGCTTCCTGAATTTTCCTTAAACCTATTATTACAAATTAAATGCATAAAGAACTCTAAAATTTTAAAAACCAAAAGAAAATGAAATAATGTCTTAAAAGCAAATTTGTATAAAGAAGCTAAAGAATGATGGTTACGAGGGTGGGGAGGGATGAGGAGGGTTATTCACTAACTAGATAGTAGATAAGAATTATCTTAGGTGAAGAGGACAGCACACACTACAGGGGAAGTCAGCACAATTGCACTAAACCAAAAGCTAAGAAGTTTCCTGAATACAACCAAACACTTTGAGGGACAGAGTAGCAGAGGCGGGGGTCTGGGGACCATGCTTTCAGGGGACATCTAGGTCAACTGGCATAAAAAAGTTTATTAAGAAAATGTTCTGCATCCTACTTTGGTGAGTGGCATCTGGGGTCTTAAAAGCTTGAAAGCGGCCATCTAAGATGCATCAATTGGTCCAAATCGACCAGGAGTAAAGGAGAATGAAGAACACCAAAGACACAAGGAAAGTATTAGCATAAGAGACAGAAAGGGCCACATAAATCTGAGACTGCTTCATCTGGAGACCAGAACTAGATGGTGCCCAGCTACCACCAATGACCGTCCTGACAGGGAACACAAGAGAGTCCCTGATGGAGCAGCAGAAAAGTGGGGCGCAGAACTCAAATTCTAGTAAAAGACCAGACTTAATGGTCTGAGACTGGAGGAACCCTGGAAAGCATGGCCCCCAGACTCTGTCAACCCAGAACTAAAACCATTCCTGAGGCCAACTCTTCAGACAAAGATTAGACTGGACTATGGGACATAAAATGATAAATGTGAAGAGTGTGCTTCTTAGCTCAAGTAGCTACATGAGACTAAATGGGCAGCTCCTGTCCGGAGGTGAGATGAGAAGGCAGAAAGGGTCAGGAGCTGGTTGAATGGACACGGGAAGTCAGGGGTGGTAAGGAGGAGTGTGCTGTCAAAGTGTAGGGAGAGCAATTAGGGTCACATAACAATGTATGTATAAATTTTTGTATGAGAGACTAACTTGAATTGTAAACTTCCACTTAAAGTACAACAATAAAAAAAAAAAGTGATAAAAAGAAGCTAAAGAAACTTTTAAAAAATATATTAAGTTTACTTCATAATAAAACCTACTTCAATCAGACAAAATTAAGTAGTTAATATATTTATTCTATAGTGACTAATACTTTACTGTATCAGTAATCTTAATTAATGCTATAACTAAAAACCTATCAGTACTGCTATAGTAAAGACACTAGGCATAACTGTGCCAGAATCTAAATTGTTTTACATGTTAAGGCCATACCTGAACAGAAGCTACCATGCAAACAGAGGTAATTAATTCTATACTGTATATATTTCTTTCCAGTTTTAAGTTCATTTTATTGGACAGACTGCTAAAGCATTGAGAAATTAGTACTTTCTTGAAATTACCAACATATTAGAGGAAAAGAACAATCAAGAGATAGCTGCTGGTTCAGAGATACAATTACTTTTCAATACTTAAAAAAGAGAAATATGAAAAGAGGAAAATGGAAATATCCAGAAAGTACTATAACAAAAAAAAAAAAAACCCAGATTAAAAAAACAGAAAACAACAAATGCTGGTGAGGTTGTGGAGAGACTGGAACTCTTTATACACTGCTAGTAGAATTATAAAATGGTACAACCACTACGGAAAATGGTATAGTGCTTCCTCAAAAAGCTAGAAATAGAAATACCTTATGATCCAACAACCTCACTCCTAGGTGACACATGTAGACATATGCACATCTATGTTCACTGCCACATTTATTCACAATAGCAAAAATGATGGAAACAACCAAATTGCTCATCAACGGGTGAATGGATAAACAATTTGCGGTACATACATACAATGGAACACAACTCAACTATACAGAATAATGAACAATATGTGAAACAACATGGATTAATCTGGAGGACATTACGCTGAATGAAATAAGTCAACACAAAAGGACAAATGTTGTATGATCTCACTTTTATAAGAAGTCAAGAATAGGTAAATACACAAAAATCAATGTTGTCTGATGGTTACCAGTGATGGAAGGTAGAAGGTGGAATCACTTTCTAGATAGTAGATACTTGTTATTTTAGGTGATGGGAAAGTCAATACACAATATGGATAAAGTCTGCCAAGAATAAGGAATAATTTTGGTAAATGCTATAACATATACAATTTTGCAACAACAGTAATAACAACCAAAACATATGAGTGGGGTTATGCAGGTATATATGTATGCATATATGTCTATAAAAGGACAAATATGAGTACATGCATGTGAATGAATAGGTGTATCTGTAGGCATACGTATACATATGCTTGTTTATGGTGCAGATATATTCAAATATATAATAAAGCACATAGGGAGCACAGTTATGGAGACTTCCAAGACATATCCAAACACCCCGCGGGATTGGTTTACTGGGTTAAAAGGCTTAGGACCACAGTCTTGTGGGACAACTAAGTCAATTAGCATAACATAGTTCACAAAGATAATGTTCTATATACTAGTTTGATAAGTAGCATCTGGGGTGTTAAAAGCTTTCAAGCAGCTATCTAAGATATAGCTATTGTTCTCTACTCATCTGGGGCAAAAGAGAATGAAGGTATCCAAAGGCTCAAAGAAGAAACTAGTTCACAGAACTAACAGCCCACACAAACCATGGCCTCTTCTAGCCTGAGACCAGAAGAACCAGATGGTGCCCAGCTTCCACTACCAATCACTCTGACCAGGGACACAACAGAAAATCCCAGATAGAATGGGAGAAAAACACAGAACAAAATTCGAATTCCTGAAACAGGCCAGACTTACTGGACTCATATAGACTAGAGGAACTCCTGAGACTATCGCACTAAGATACCCTTTGAACTTGGAACTGAAGCCACACCTGGAGGTCACCTTTCAGTCAAATAATAGACTAGCTTATAAAATAAACAACATCACCCATGAGTAATGTGCTCCCTTAAACTATGAAACTTAATGGTCAACATTTACCCAAAAGCAAAGATGAGAAGGCAAGGAGGGGCAGGAAAGCTAATCAATGAAAATAAAACAAACAGAATGGAAATAATGAGAACGCTGACACAATGTAAAAAAAATCTAACCAATGTCATGAAACAATTTGTATAAAAATTGTTAAATGGCAGCCTGATATTGGTACAAAACAGATACATAGACCAATGGAACAGAATTGAGAATCTAGGGGTAAATTCATCCACCTATGAGCAGCTGATATTTGACAAAGGCCCAAAGTCCATTAACTGGTGAAAAGACAGTCTTTTTAACAAATGGTGCTGGAAAAACTGGATATCCATCTGCAAAAAAATGAAAAAAGACCCATACCTCACACTATGCACAAAAACTAACTCTAAATGGATCAAAGACCTAAATATAAAATCGAAAACGATAATGATCATGCAAGAAGAAATAGGGACTATGCTAGGAGCCCTAATACATGGCATAAACAGAATACAAAACATTACTAACAATGCACAAACACCAGAAAAGAAACTAGATAACTGGGAGCTCCTAAGAATCAAACACTTATACTCATCAAAAGACTTTACCAAAACAGTAAAAAGGCAACCTACAGACTGGGAAAAAAGTTTAGGCTACAACAAATCTGATCAGCATATAATCTCCAAAATATAGAAGATACTGCAAAACCTCAACAACAAAAAGACAAATAACCCAATTAAAAAATCGGCGAAGGATATGAACAAGCACATCACCAAAGAAGACATTCAGGTGGCTACCAGATACATGAGGAAATGCTCACAACTATTAGCCATTAGAGAAATGCAAATCAAAACTACAATGAGATACCATCTCACCCCAACAAGGCTAGCATTAATCAAAAAAAAAAAAAACAAAGTAATAAATGTTGGAGAGGTTGTGGAGAGAATGGAACACTTATACACTGTTCGTGGGAATGTAAAATGGTACAACCACTTTGGAAATCGATTTGGTGCTTCCTTAAAAAGCTAGAAATAGAAGTACCATACGATCCAGCTATCCCACTCCTTGGAATCTATCCTAGAGAAATAAGAGCTGTCACATGAATAGATACATGCACACCCATCCATGTTCACTGCAGCACTGTTCATTATAGCAAAAAGATGGAAACAATGTAGGTGCCCATCAATAGATGAATGGATAAACAAATTATAGTATATTCATGCAATGCAACATTATGCAATGATAAACAACAATGATGAATCTGCGAAACATCTCATAACATGGATGAATCCGGAAGGCATTATGCTGAGTGAATTTAGCCAGTCGTAAAAGGACAAATACTGTATGAGACCACTATTATAAGAACTCAAGAATGGTTTAAACACAGAA